ATAAATTGTGCCCTGAAATGAGCAAAGTGTGAGTTCCTCACCCACACACTTCTGTGAGTCCTATGCCCGTGACTTTGCTCATGCTGCCCCATCATCCCAGAGCTCCAGTCCCTCCATTCTGCCGGGTTCATTTCTGTTTGTCTTTGAGACCAACATTAGCTCCTCTACAGACCTTTCCTGAACCCCAGAATATATGAGTCCTTCTCCTCAACAGCCCCACTGCACTTGTGAGTGCCTCTTTCTACTAATCATCTTTTATTGAAATTATCTACGTATCTGTCTCCCCCACGAACTGTGTGGTCTCTAAGGTGGGAACTGCATCTGATTCATCTTTGTATCTTACTTAGCACAGTCCCTGGTATCCTGTAGGGTTTTAGGATTTATCTGTTGATCTAAATTCCATCAGACTGTAGAGCTCCATGATGTTAGCTCATTCATTCCTTTACTTATTCCAGACATAGTTATTGAGTGTTTCTTTTCTTTTCTTTTCTTTTTTTTTTTTTTTAATGCCAGGAACTCTAGTAGGTTCTGGGGAGACACCTGCAAGCAGAAGAGGCCTTTGTCATCACAGAGTTAGCTCACATTTTAAATAGATGGAGACTGACCAAGGTCAAATACATGACTGAAGGCAACAAAACAAGGTAATGATTGAGGGCCGGTGGGATGAGTTTCTCCACTTCAGAAAATGAAAGGACTTTAGTGGGGCCAATCTCAGAATAAAGCTGGTTTTGGGGCGCCTGGGTGGCTCAGTGGGTTAAGGCCTCTGTCTTCGGCTCAGGTCATGATCTCAGGGTCCTGGGATCGAGCCCCACGTCGGGCTCTCTGCTCAGTGGGGAGCCTGCTTCCCTTTCTCTCTGCCTGCCTCTCTGCCTACCTGTGATCTCTCTCTCTGTCGAATAAATAAATAAAATCTTAAAAAAAAAAAAAAAAAGCTGGTTTTCCTCCTGATTGTGACTTGCTAATACAGGAGATGTGGAGATACTGACCATGCTAATATTTATAAGTATATGGTTATAATTGTATTCATAAACTGTTTATAAGGTATTACATAATCCTTCATAAAAATCCTTATAGCAATATACACGTCTGTATGGTTTTACTTTTCTGTATGTGATTTCATGTAAGAACATAATAAAGGTCCTAGTGTATCCATGTTAGGGAGAAAACAGACTTAAATAGGATCAGTGGTTTATTCCAGGCCATAGAGAAAGTATTCTCTTCTTTATACAATGATACCTCTGTCAAAGTCTTTTCAATTCTGTTCTTCCTAGAGGAAGTTCCAACCCACTCCTCCTAGCCTTGCTGAGCCTTTCCAGATAATGCTTCTCTTGGATCAGATAGCTAGAAAGTTCCAGAAAGACTCAGCGTTTGCCACATTAAGATGTTCTTTACTGATCCCAAGGAAGTCACATGTTTAATAGTGCCTAGAAGCATTTATCTAAATTATTAATTTTATAAACATGTTTACAAGATTATGTATGTAAACAATCAATTTGCAAACATGTGATTTCACTCAGCAAATGTTTACTGAAAGCCCACCAAATGCTAGGAACCATTCTAGGAGTTAGAAACCCTCAAGACCAAAAATAAGACCCACACGCTGAAACACGGAAACATGAGGCATGTGGGTGGCTCAGTCCATTAAACATCTATCCTAGTCTTGGGTCATGATCTCGGGGACCTGGGATCGAGCCCCATGTCGAGCTCCCTGCTCAGCAGGGGAAACTGCTTCTCCCCCTCCTTCTGCCACGCCCCCTGCTTGGGTGCTCACTCTCTCTCTCTTTCTCTCTGTTAAATACACAAATAAAATTTTTAAAAAAGGTGGAGAGTCGACAAGGAGTAAGATGCTGAGCTGGTAGTGTTCAAGTGCACACAAATCTTGTGTTGATAACAAGGGTGTGTGGAGAACCACAATAGTCTGAGGATAATTTGGACAGCCTTTGTGGTGACTTTTACAGCAGTAGGAAGCTAGGACGTGTGCACCTAGGCGAGAGTCATAATCATTCTGCTCAACGTGGAGCCAGAACTTAACTTTTGAATAAAGTAACTGGGGTTCCAAAGATAAAGCCTATTTTGTACCACACACAAGGTTACCTGCGATCTGGAGGAGAAACTCTGAAGTCCTTTTCCCGTGCCCCCATTTTGAAGAAAATAATACATCAAAGTGCTCAGCTCAGCTCAAGGCAACACAGAGCCACAAACGGCAAGCAAATAACTGGACACTATTCTAAGGGTAAACAGTCAGAGTGGGCGTGTGGGACTTATCAAGGAGAGAAATCCCAACCTAGCTGGAAGCTTCCACCGATCACTATATTGTCAAAGACAAATACCAAGAACAAGAGAATTTCCCAGAGGTGCCCTACGAAAAGTAAACTGTAAGGACTAAGTAGAAAGAAAGAACATCCCAGGACTGCACGAGACTCAAAGTGATCTGTTTAGGACACTCAGAGGAGAAAGCTTCCCGAAACACCACACCATGGGTGCCTGGGTGGCTCAATGGGTTAAGCCTCTGCCTTCGGCTCAGGTCATGATCTCAGGGTCCTGGGATCCAGCCCCACATCGGGCTCCATGCTCTGCAGGGAGCCTGCTTCTCCCTCTCTCTCTGCCTGCCTCTCTGCCTACTTGTGATCTCTCTCTCTGTGTCAAATAAATAAAAACACCACACCATATGTAAGAGAGATGGGGGCATAAGTTAACGAGGTTCTCATTTTCCTACCATTTCCCTCAGCATGAGCTGGACTTTGTTTTTTCTGACTTGATCTGAGTTTAAAGGCAGATTTATGCTGCTAGCTATGTATATATTTTTACTACTGTGAACTAATTATTTCTGTTATTGCCATCATTTTTCATAACTGCCTTTAATTTTTCAGCTGTTAAGTAATACTCTGTATCGGCTTTTGAAGCTTTCTGCTCTCTATACCTGGGCAGTGTGTGTGCGTGTGTGTGTGTGTGTACACGCGCGCACGTGCATACAGATTTTATTTACTTTAGGTTTTGTGTGGATGGAGCCATCAGAGATACGTCTGTGTTTTTATGAGGTTTGTTTCAAAATGTTCAGGAACATCCTTCCTGGCTGATCATTTGAAGTTGGGAAATTGCCCCTTTGTCTCAGAATACGTAATTGAGAGATGGTTCAATAAAACTTTGTGCAGGGGAAAATTAGTTCTAGATGCCACCCCTAGATCCTGTCCAGGAGAAATCCTGTCCACACTCAGGGCTATTTTACTACCAAAAAAAAAAAAAAAAAAAAAAAAAAAAGCATGTGCCCTCCACAGCAATCAATGCTTCCTTCATCCCTGAGCCACATCCGTGGTAGCAGAACGTGCGTATCTCTTTCTGACAAGAGTACAATTCCAGTGTGTGTGATTTAACACTGTTTAAGCATCTTTCAGGGTTCATTAGATGCTGAGCAGTTTATACCTTTATTCTATCCAAATGGGAGTCAGTCCCAAGGCAGAAGCCTCTCTGTCCACTGCAATCCATTCAGGAACGACCACTAGCATCCCTGCAGCCAGCGGAAGGCTAGCTAACATCCAGCAGAAAGAGGAAAGCCCTTCTGGAGTTCACTTCCATAGTATGTCCTTCAGATCAAGAGCAATATGGAGCTGTAATTGGATTTTTCTCTCCTTTGTCATGTCTCTCCTTCCTGCCCCTTCCTCTCAACTCACACAAGGCCCAGCTCAAGTATCAATTCTTCTCTGAAACAGACTTCCTCTTAAAATATATCTGTTTCCTCTCATTCTACTCAGATCATTTAGTCCGTGGCACTGAACACACAGCGTCCTGAGCCGTACTTGTTCACCTCCAGATTTCATCTCCCTTCCTAGATTATAAAGTCTTCAGGCACACAGACCACAGCTTGGAAAGAGCTGCTACATTCAGTTACAATACAAACACAGTGCCCGGTGATGACTCAATAAAGTCATCCATTCCAGAAATACGTATCGTGCACCTACTATGTGCCAGGCATAACGGACCCAACTTCTGTCTTGACACGGTTCACAGTCGAGTGGCATGAATGAGGGCATGTCCAATGCCATCCCATATGATAACCGATGTCCAACGAATTTCAAATAACCACAATCAGAATAAAACATGTGCCCTGAGAGGAGTCTCATAACATGTCACCAGGGATCTTTATCTCTAAGAAAGAACACTATTAGTTTCTCAAGGAATTTCCCCAGGGAAGGGGTAGAGATATCTCAGGCAATCAGGCTTAGCTTAGCTTAAACAAAAATATGCAGTACACAGCTCTGATGTCACGGTATTCTGAAAGAATTCTACCTAATCAAGTCTGATTCTTTTTGCCTCAACAATTGACCTTAGAGAACTTACACTTGACTGAAGCTCCTCTGCTCTCAGACAGAGGTCTCAACACATCAGCTACGATAGTAATAAATGAGTAATGGCAAAGCCCCAATGCTTTCTCACAGCTGCTAGCTTTCGGGGGATAAAAAAAGAAAAAAGAAAAGGAAAAAAAATCAGTCTTCTGGGCCTTAATGTTACATTCTGAAAATTTTCCTTCATCTCAAATAATGAGACTCTTGGGAACACCAAGCTTGACAAAGGTAAAATAATACATATGTTATGCTTTAGACAAGACACACAATCACAAGTTGAGCTACTTTTCGCCAGAGCTTCCCTACTTGCAAGTCAAGTATGAAATCAAATTTTACAAGGTGTAGTTCTTGCGCTATCAGCGCCCTTTCATCTCTGTTATTTCGTGTCATTTATAAAGCACTGCCATCTTTGAGATACAATTCCCTATTAGGCAGATGAGGAAACAGAACCACCAGCCACGTAAGTGGCAAAACCAAGGTCATGCAACCAGCTTAAGTGGAAACCTAAAATCTAGGACCTCGCTTCCAAGTCCAAAATCTTTTTTGCTACAACCTATGGTCTCAAAGAACGCATTAGAGGACAGAGCCCTTCACTGAAACTAGAAATTCATTTTTTTTCTTGGGACAGTCAACGAATTAAAGAGAGCATGTGACCAGTACCTCTTTAAGGCAGCCCATGAAGTTGTTGCTAACTGGTGAGCCTGGCAAGTCAGCGGTACTTGGGCTTCCTCCCACGTAGAAGAAGTCATCCGAGCCCAGCATGGTGTAGTCCTCTTGAGTGTAGCCCGTCGTGGTAAGGATGCCATCCACAGAGATCGTCACCTAGTGGAGGGACATAGGGACAAAAAAAATCCCAACAATGACTTTATGGTCCTATCAAAATCTGGTGGCTTCCCCTACCTGTAGCGTCACTTTCACTAAGATTTTTGGTGAGGAAGTCTTTCTAATTTGGTTTGATTTTGGTATGTGCAGCCAAGTTCCATTTTCTGGTCTGCCTTTCCTGCGACCCAAGCCTCCAGCATTCCTCTGCAGACTCCCAGGAGACTTCGGGGGAACTGTCAAGAACTTGCTCTACCCACTGCACTCCTTACTCAGTCAGGCTAGAAAATGGAACCATCCTCAGACGACATCACTTATCTCAATTCATTAGTAAAATGATTGTTTATTTTTGGAATGATTGTTATTTATGGTGGTAGTGAGAAACAGCAAAGGAGACATTGGACAATGGGGTTTGTTAGGTTGGTCTTTGGTGGTGGATGGTTTTTTTTTCCTTTTTTCTTTTCTTTTTCTTTTCTTTTTTATCAGTTTCTTTGGGGGCTCACACCACGCTGACAAACATGCATTCGGGGAGGGAGGGAGAAGGGTCTCATTTCTGATATGTCATGGATGGTACATGCCATGAACTACCCCAAGACTCCAACCCCTGCCCTCCCTTCCCTGCCATCACCACCACCAAGAGAAGAAATGACCCAAACCAAAAAGGCAACTCTAACAAAAAGAAAGGAATATGAGGCATAATAACCAAAATAAAAGTAATAATAATAATGCCCACAGGGAAAAAATAGCACCCACACGCCCAACATCCATGAAAGGAGCAGAGGGCAGAGAGAAAAGATGGGGCCTCAAAGCGTGCACACACCATACGCTGACACACCCATGCGAAAACTATCAGAAGCCAAGAGAAAAGGCGGAAGAGAAAGGGCAGGGAAATGGGCAGAGGTGAGGAAAACCAAAGGGAAGAATCAAAATCCACTTCACACTTAACATGCGCTGAACAAAGTGGAACACAAGATGGAAGTAAAAACAAACAACCAAAAAATAAAAAAAATAAAAAAAAAAAACACTCAAAACTAACTAAAGGGTTCTCTCCCCTGCCTGCCACCTCCCTCACTAAAAAAGAAAAAAAAAAAGGAAAAGAGAAAGAAAAGAAACATCCAAACCCAACCCCAAAATATATGAAGGATGAGAGGAGAATGAAAAAGAGTGGAGACAAAAATGGAGAGAGAGAAGAGCGTGGAACTGGGGTGATGACTGACAGGTTGTTAGTAATGAGGAGGAAAATGGGGAACACACTCTGATGCCCATGGGGAAATTCACAAGACAGGAACATGCCATGCAGAGTCTGTACAGAGAACACACTGGCCGAGCTCCCTTTAGCCACGGTGGGGAGTAAGGTGAAAGCCGGGAAAGGCAGAATAGAGGAAGTCGAGTACTTTCCTCCCCAGATCACCTGTGGCAGCCGTGGCCACACCAAAGGGAAAGAAAAATGGGCTTCAGGAGTGGGGAGGAGGGAAGAGCGAGGAGGAAGAGTGAGAGGGGACAGGGGGACATAGAGAGAAGAAAGTCCTCAATAGAAATCCTGTTGTCCCTAGTCTGTAACTTGGAAGTTGCAAAAGAAGGAAACAAAACAAAACAAATTTAGCTAAACGGGGAATCTTTCTTTAAAAAGACATTGGGGGGGGGGGAAAAAAAAAAAAAAAAGAGAGACAAACTGGAGAAAAGGAAACTGTCCCAACCAAACTCCTCCAAATACCATTTCCAGGACAGGCACGTTACCCTTCCATTTTTATTTTTTCTCTTTTAACAAAAAAGAAAGGCTTGCATTTAATCCAACAAAAAAATTTTAAAAGAAGAAGAAATGAGTCTAAGGAGGATAAAAGGGGGGTTTGGGAAGGAAAAGGGGGGCAACACACGGCAAACCCAAAAAAAGAGACAATAAGAATGATATCTACCAGACAATGTAGTTTGTTTACCATAGCGTGTCCGATGCCTGAGTGCTTTGCGGAAAAGGGGGAAGAAAGGAAATTAAAAATTGTGAACAGAACGATTGTTAATTAAAAAAACTAAAAACAAAGATGAGTCGTTAGGGTGTTAGTACATTAGTCGGTTAGTAAAATGACACATTGCATGAATGATCTTGTGTTAGTTTTTCAAAAAAAAGGCACCCAACACAGAAAAAGAGAGTGGGGAAGACAATGAGACCAGGACTCTATGGAAAACCTTGGCAGCCAGGGCAGAGCCAGGGAAGGAGCCGCAATCCGCCCTGTCACTGACCTCCCCCTTCTTCCCAGGACCGCTCAGACTGGACCTCACCCCAGTTAGAGTTAGCGTCATACTTACTTTCCAAGGGCTCTTCTGAATGAACACCACTTTCCCTTCCCACCCTCTAGCACATACACAGCCCACCTATCCTGAAAGAAAACACCCCTAAAGTTTATCATTTCACATGTAGACAGAACTAAAATACCAATATTCTGGGGACTTTTTTTTTTTCGATATCTGACTCTGACTACATGCATCGATGATTATGATCTTCAATAGAACAACCACCACCACAACAAACGTAAAGCATGTGCAGGTCGCCTCTAGCATCGGAAGGTGACATGATGTAGCTCATTCTGGGTTTCCACGGGTGGTTAAAGATCCATGACTCCCTTGATTTTGTGTGGATGTGTGCGGCAGGAGGGGGACACTCTCCTCTTTGCTTTCCTCTTGGTCGACAATAACTGTGTTGTCCGCATGCATCAAAATAGTTGGAAGTCTTCTTTATTTCCCATGTAGTTATTATTTTGTTTTCTTCGCCAGAATGCTTGCCCGTTGGAATCGCTCTGTCCCCATTCCCCTTTAGCAAGTGTCTTTTAAGCTTTTAAGCAATTTCTTGTATGTGTAATAGAGAAGACTGTCAGATTAAACATGATTAAAGAAGTCCTGCGATTTGTCTCCTCTGATTATTTTCAAAATGCTAAATGGCCAACACACCCTGAGCTGGGAGGCTGGGAGGCTGGAAGACTGGTAACCCCAGTTTTGTGTTTGTGGTTTCACTAAAGTGGCATTAGAGGTAAAGCAATTCACATGAGGGCCATGCTCAAGGTCACGGGTTTTAAAACAAGACCAAAAACAAACCCAGAGAAACGCATCACTACCTTGGTCCTTTATCCCAGGGACAGTTTGGAACAGACAGCTCACACTCCTTCCTTTAATCAGAACCACCGGGAAAGTAGCTAGCCTTGGTCCTGACTTGTCTCAAAGGTAGAACCAAGACTAGATGACCAAGAAGGAAGGAATGGGCCAAGTTCTGCTTTATTTAGTAATGAATACTCCAGGAAACTCCAAGTAAGCATTCTCAGATGAGTTTTTGCCACCGAAACCATTTGACCTTACCAAAAAAGTAGATGAGAAAGTCATAAGCTCATTATCAAATATTTATGAAGCAATTTACAGTTTAATTGAAATAGACAGGAGCTTCCAACCCCTTCAAATGTCTCCTACAGCTCTAAAGAAGATGTTATAAATGTATTTTTAATGGCCAAAATAATAATCTTAGGTGATTCAGCACAGAAAGGATTACATGTGCAAAATCAACTCTGCTTTTCAGAGATTTCCTTCTCTTTCAATAAACTACATTTGGATGCAAAAGTTAGTGGGGATTTCAATGAAGACCTATTTTAGGGACACTTTCTCTATGAGATTCATGTTCCCTCTGCCAAGAAATGTCCCCCAACACGCTTGGGCCTCTGTTGCCTTGTCCAGAATGGACAGCTTTGCTTAGCAGCATCGTTGGTAACAGACACAGTCACCTTCACAACAGAATACTCAGCTTATAAATCGTGCGCATGTCACAGTGAGTCTAGCACCCAGACCATGGAGGAGCTCATAATCCTTCTGGAACATAAGGTACTTTGCATATTTAGTCACCACACATGGCTAGGGAGGATGGTAATCACCATTTCACAAATGAAACTGTGGTGTGGCAAGGTTAAATGATTTGTCCAAGGACACTGAGGGAGTTGGGTCTTAGAACTTGGAAGAGAAACCCTCCAGGGTGGGCCTCCTCTGCTTGCTCTGACCAAAACAGCACACCCAATGTTTGAAGAATGGTTTTATTTATCCCCCCACCCCAGTTTAAAGGATGGAACTGGGGTTTCGTTTATCCCCCACCCAGTTTAAAAGATGGAACTGGGGCCCAATTCTATTTTAGAAAAGTATTTTAGTAGAAATAAAAGTGAGCCCTTCTCCAGCTAATTGGAATTGTTCTAGAAAGGCAAGAAAGTGTACACAGTGGGAGAGAAGCAGAGAAACAGACTGGTTGGTGAGCATCACAGCCTGACCCTGCTCCCCACTCCACTGACTAAAGCCTAAAGAGTGGTACTGTGCACCTGCCAGTCAAAACTGGCAAAAGGTCATATTTTCCTTTTGGGTCTAGTCTCTGCAACTCAAACACACCGCGCCCTTACATGTTAGCAAATGGAAATTCTACTTGGGCCCTCTTGACCACTGAGCTGAGCTGAGTAAGTGTGGATGGGGGATTATTAAAGAAAACATTAGCAATTGGATCATTCGGCCTTGGAGGAAAAACAGAATAATGATTCAAAACTGTCCAGTCCATGGGTATTAAGATGACTGGAGGCTCCAAGACTTGTGTGATTTGGTAATGTCACCACAGATAGAAGAGAATCTCCCAACCAGGCAGCTTCCTCAGCATACTTAAGCATTACAATGGGTGCTTTGAATATTGTGTGTTCCTAGTGCCTTGTGAAACTTCTCTGTTCACTTAGCAATGCTAAGGGGTCGCCCTTCTATGAAACAGAAAACATATGCAAATACCTGTCCATTCTTCCGCTCTCACATTTACATTAGAAAGCATTAAATCAATCATATTGCAGAAGAAAATCTGATAAGCAGTCTCTGGAAATCTGCATAATGTTTTCTGATTAATAAAGGATGAACCCTGTCTAACTGGGTTTAATGACAAAAATCACAAGAAGAAAAACCAACTGCAAATAGCAACCCGGAAAGTAGCATCAGCACCGACCTTGACTTTTATAGAAAATGCTTTTCTTCTTCATTGATGTGGGCTGGTACAGTGTTACTATTATTACTGTTGTGACTATTACTATTCATTATGAGACTGAAAACAATGTCACTTGGCTAAGGCTTTCTGAGAGCGTTGTCACCTGACGTAGTTGCCTGCTTAGAATCGGCAAGCGATGGGAGTTCTCATGTCCGAACAGAACCAGGAAAGGCTGCTCCAAAGTTGACTTTTTTATTTGGGTCCTTCCACTTTCCAGGCCTCTCAGTCAACTGAAGAGCCTTAGAGATAGAGACCGGGGCAATAAAGTAGGACCACCGCACCAAGGAACAGAGAAACAGAGGAATTCAGAAAGATTCCAGCTAATTCTACAGGTTATCATAACAGCAGGAAAAAAAAAAAATGAAAGCAGGGGAGGGGTGGTAAATTAAAAGGATGAGAAAAAGGAAGACTCTTTCCTGGAAGGAATTAAAATCATGACATCATGGCAATGGCTAACTTAATGAAAAAGAAAAACATATATTCAAAAAATGAGGAAAATCTAGCAAACTACAGAAACAAAACGACATCCCTATTGAATCTGACAATAATACAAGATTCAAACGTAATTAAGAAAATGGTAAGAAGGAAAGCAGAATAAAAGGAAAGTATTTATAACTTGTATTATCTACACAACTGAATTTTTTTCTGAAAAGAAAAAATCAAGCATAAGTGGAGAACTGAAGGAGGAGAAGAAACATATTTTTATAATTTTTCCTTGTGAAACTGCAAAGACCGGGCAGAATGTTAGGCTTCGACAAATCCGGAGCTCTATCTCTCCAGCTCGCCCAGCACCTGCTTCACAAACCTCCGCCCCAGCTGCCCTAGAGCAGCCTCCGGGCACTCTCTCCCCACAGCCATTACCTGCCGGAGGTTACGCGTGACTTTGACATCATGCCAGGCGTTGTCGTTGAATTTTCCATTCACTGGCTCCACGATGGCCTCAAAGGCCCCGGACCCCAGGTTAATGACCAAGGAGACCGCGCCATCCTTCAGAGCCAGGTTGACATAGTCGGCCGACTTGCCCGTGTGCAGGATGAGCCCATTCCGTTGCCAGGTCTTAAAGGAGAGGGTGATTTCATCACTGCTGCTCTGGATCGGGTTCTGAGACAGGTCGTAGCACAGGTACTCGGAGCCTCGGAAAGTAGCCACGTTCTCCTCCCGGGCTGCGTGAAAAGGAAAGAGGAAAGCAGTCACCACTTGACTGGCACAAGTCATGTGCGTGCAAATACCAAGGAGAACACGGTCCCCCTGGTCAGTGCCTCCCTGCCAGGGAGTTGCTGTCCACACTCCAACTCTTCTACCAGACCTGTGTGTCTAAGCACCAGGTAAACCAGGAGGGACAGCAACTGCCAAGAAGCCATCTACTCTCACAAGGGTGGAAGACCAACACAACGGTGTAGAAGAGCTTGCTGCATTTCCTTCCCGTTTTCCTCAAGAAAAACCCAAAGAAATTTTATGCAAAATGGTAGAGTGAAGTTGACGTTGCTTTTGCTTCAATGATGGCTTTTAAATGCTGTCAAGAGCTGGTGTAGAATGGATAATTAACTGTTCTGACAAAGGGTTCTTTAGCTCTACATACCCTTTTATTGACCAATAACTAAAAATCAATTACCCTGAAAGATCTGGCTCTAATTTCCATCCATCCACAACCCAGCTAACTTTGGTTTCCATGGTAGAGTCCTGAGCCCAGTGGAATGATGAGGGAAAGGGGAGAGAACGGAATTTGGTGATACCCTTTGACAAGACAGCAATCGCTCCCTTTCGATTCAAAGGGATCTCTGCTCTGAGGTCTCCTAATTTAGATGTCCCTGGTCGGACCATCCTAAAGAACACCCAGGGTCAAGACAGCATTCCACCAGAGTATATATTCTCTTCCAAGGCCGTACCCTGGGATCCTCTAATTTTCTACCCAGGGAACCTTCTGCAAGGTTCTGCCCAGACTCATTTTCCAACAGCAGCAAGCCGTTGGTGTGCATACGTCGAGGTCTGAGCACTAGCAATGGCGGGACCATTTGCAGGGAGTTAGACAGAGCTGGCCATGTGGGCATCCATGTGCATTTATACCAAACTCCTTGTGGTTACAGAATGGAGGGAGAGGTGGAAAGAGGAAGGGGTCAGGCCGCAGGCTGACAGCAGAGGGCCTGGTTCTCCTTGTGCTAGTGTTCTCCAGTGCAGAACACTGAGGAATCTAAAAATTCTAAGTGTGTACCTGGCTTACTAGGTAGTGTCCAAGGTATATTCATCAAAGGAATGACGTGTTTTGTACTATAAGATACCTAGGAATAAACCTAACCAAAGAGACTAAGAATCTATACACAGAAAACTATAAAGTACTCATGAAAGAAATTGAGGAAGACACAAAGAAATGGAAAAATGTTCCATGCTCCTGGATTGGAAGAATAAATATTGTGAAAATGTCTATGCTACCTAAAGCAATCTACACATTTAATGCAATTCCTATCAAAGTACCATCCATTTTTTTCAAAGAAATGGAACAAATAATCCTAAAATTTATATGGAACCAGAAAAGACCGCGAATAGCCAAAGGAATATTGAAAAAGAAAGCCAAAGTTGGTGGCCTCACAATTCCGGACTTCAAGCTGTATTACAAAGATGTCATCATCAAGACAGCATGGTACTGGCACAAAAACAGACACATAGATCAATGGAACAGAATAGAAAGCACAGAAATAGACCCTCAACTCTATGGTCAACTAATCTTTGACAAAGCAGGAAAGAATGTCCAATGGAAAAAAGACAGCCTCTTCAATAAATGGTGTTGGGAAAATTGGATAGCCACATGCAGAAAAATGAAATTGGATCATTTTCTTACACCACACACGAAAATAGACTCAAAATGGATGAAGGACCTCAATGTGAGAAAGGAATCCATCAAAATCCTTGAGGAGAACACAGGCAGCAACCTCTTTGACCTCAGCCGCAGCAACATCTTCCTAGGAACATTGCCAAAGGCAAGGGAAGCAAGGGCAAAAATGAACTATTGGGATTTTATCAAGATCAAAAGCTTTTGCACAGCAAAGGAAACAGTTCACAAAACCAAAAGACAACTGACAGAATGGGAGAAGATATTTGCAAACGACATATCAGATAAAGGGCTAGTGTCCAGAATCTATAAAGAACTTAGCAAACTCAACACCCAAAGAACAAATAATCCAATCAAGAAATGGGCAGAAGACATGAACAGACATTTCTGCAAAGAAGACATCCAGATGGCCAACAGACACATGAAAAAGTGCTCCATATCACTTGGCATCAGGGAAATACAAATCAAAACCACAGTAAGATATCACCTCACACCAGTCAGAATGTTTATAGCAGCAATGTCTACAATAGCCAAACTATGGAAAGAACCTAGATGTCCATCAACAGACGAATGGATAAAGAAGATGTGGTATATATACACAATGGAATACTATGCAGCCATCAAAAGAAATGAAATCTTGCCATTTGTGACAACATGGATGGAACTAGAGGGTATCATGCTTAGCGAAATAAGTCAGTCAGAGAAAGACAACTATCATATGATCTCCCTGATATGAGGGAGAGGAGATGCAACATGGGGGGTTAATGGGGTAGGAGAAGAATAAATGAAACAAGTTGGGATTGGGAGGGAGACAAACTGTAAGTGACTCTTAATCTCACAAAACAAACTGAGGGTTGCTGGGGGGAGGGGGGTTGGGAGAGGGCGGGTGGGGTTATGGACATTGGGTAGGGTATGTGCTATGGTGAGTGCTGTGAAGTGTGTAAACCTGGAGATTCACAGACCTGTACCCCTGGGGAAAAAAAATATATGTTTATAAAAAATAAAATTAAAAAAAATAATAATAAATAAATAAATAAATAAAAATAAAGGTTTTAAAGATGAAGTGAATTCAAATACATATAACAAAACAAACAAACAAAAAAAGGAATGACGTGTTTTGTGTAATTATTTGTTGACATAATTTATAATTTCAAAACTCGGCATATGGACTTTCATTTGTCCCTCTGACAGGCAGCCTGACAGAGTGGCCTACTATATGCACATCAGGGTTGGCCAACAGCTAGTGAATCACCTCATGATGAAAGGAAGTGGGCAACAGGACAAGGTTGGGTAGGCAGCTTCCCGTTACTGAGGGGGGGCTACAAAATAAGGTTGAGCAAGTTCTATTTTCTCTTCTAGAATACACTTCAGCCTTAGTAACCAAAGTCAATTCCACCTCAACTTAGATCCTATCAACCACCACCGCCCTAGGTAAGTCATTTAAGTAAAATAAATATATTCTCATGATTAAGTAAGAACAAGAGAGGAATCACTCATCATTTTGGAGAGATGACCACCCACTACAGACTATATTAAACCAATTATAGCATCACAATAACCTTAAAACATGAACCTCAAATTCGTATTCCAAAGATGTAAAGATCAGGCTTATCCTGTGTATTCCAGAGGGTCTCAATGACAGGTGTCTCCCTGCATATTTCTGTTTGTGTGCATGCCTGTGCATACACACACATACACACATAAATACACACACTGGTATAAGCAAAAGGGTCCTGTCCACATATAAATGACCACTGTGTCATGTGTGTGTATGTATGTGTGTGTGTGTGTGTGTGTGTGTGTATATATATATATATATATATATATATATATATATAGATGCGCATAGCAAGTACTACTTGGCCCACAACCTATCTCTGATGCTTTTTACCAAAATAGTCAAAAAAATAAAATCACGGAGCAGTAATTTGATACCATTTCTATGTTTGAAACAGATCTATCCAATACCCTAGTGCCCTGTCTGTTGTCATGATTTCTCATTTTTGAAGAAATGGCTTTGTGAAAATGCAACTGGATGAGCCTCTGTTCAGTAGACCAGGAGGTGAGCTTGACCTAGGGTAAAAGACGGCAAATCCAACAGTTATCACCTTTAAACTCTTCTCCTATGGATGAAAATGCGCACAGAGCCAACTGTCCTCAGTGCCTACGGTAACATGCTATAGTAACAGGTGTCTTCTGTAAACATTTAAGTTAGACCTTATGTGCCCAATGAACTGAGAAAAATAAACAAGGAAATGAGTGCCTCTAAAGAGATGCTTGAATTAATAATCATGGAGTACCCTTCAAAGGGGAAAGGTTGGACACAGAACAGTAAGGCTCCAAGATCCCATTTGATGTGCTATATGGTGCCTAATATTTGTCATGTAATTAAACCAAGGAGTATGCAAAAATAATAAGCTTTGGAGCTTATAAGTGATTTTAGAGCTTATCTGATTTAATGCCCCCCCCCCCTTTAACAAGGATGAAACTGACAACTAAAAATAAATGTTGCCCAAGGTTACACAGTTGGTGTTACTCTGGACTTCTACTGCCTATCTGGACTTCCCTCTCAGTATTCTTTCACCCATCACTTTGGATGTACCAATGTTCCTACTTTACTATAGGGCACAAATGATTCCACAGAGCTATGCATTAACTTACAAACCATCCCCAACCCTGGATAAACTGAGCCAGAAATTTATTTCCCCCCACCCCACCCTACATATATCACTTACTCACCAAAATAATGTTCCCCTTTCCTCCCTGGATGCTGGGTGTGTTTAAAGCAATAGAATTTGTTTTATGTGGAGCCCACACAAGAAAAATGACATCATTGTAGAGAAGAGAATATCAATAAATAAACAAGAAATAAAACCAACGTGAGAAATCGTCTATGTAAATCAGATGCATATTTATGCTAATCCCCATGCAAATTTACCAACAAAGATTTTATGTAGCTGAGCACGTCCCTTTGCAAGTAATCTAAGGAAAATGCTGTAACCATACACAACCTTCCCTATCTCTTCATTCAATGATGAATTTTCCCGGTTTGCCTCTTCCCTAGGCTGGCTACCAAGAGCAGCATCACCCCAGATGCTCTTATCTCCTCCACATGTCAACATGTAAGAGACACCTGAAAGCTACTCTCTGAGTCATATTCTAGATAAGCCAAACTGTAACATTTTTAATGCATGGGACACCTTCCTCCTGACTGTGTGGAGGAGATGCAGTGACAGTGCATGACCTGGTCTTCAAAAGAGCAAATGAGGGGCACGGAAGAAGAAGGAGTGAGAACCTTGAAGAAAGCATTCCTTTGCATATTCTCACAACTGATTT